ACACTGACTTCCTACTGTCTGAAATCAGTGCTTCTTGCGGAAATATTATGCTGCTCCCGTTCGGGCAAAAGTCCTTTTCCGCAAAGCTTTTGCGCAAAAGGGCCAGTGTAGACAGCTCAGATTTGTTTTGCGCAAAAAAGCCCCGATGGCGAAAATGGCAATCGGGGCTTTTTTGCGGAAAAGCGCGTCTAGATTGGCACGGACGCTTTTTTGCAAACAGTGCTTTTGCAGAAAAGCGTCTGTGCCAATCTAGGCGCTCTTTTCCGAAAATGCTTTTAACGGAAAACTTTTCCATTAAAAGCATTTGCGGAAAATCATGCCAGCGGAAAATTCTTAAACGCTTCCCATGATGGGGATTCCACAAGCTCCCTTGGAAGCCTATACCAGAGCTTAACTCCCCTTACAGTTAGGAAGGTTTTCCCAAACAGCTAACTTACACTTCCATGGCAGTAGACTAAGCCCATCATTCCTTGTGCTGCTGTAACCCACACAACTGCTGGTCAGGGCCACTGTCCCAGGCACGGGAACTTAGACCACTTACAGAGAGAGAGAAGAAGGCTATGTCTACACGAGGGCTACGTCTACACTGGCCCCTTCTCTGGAATAGGCATGCAAAGCAGGCAAGTCAGAATAGGGAAATCCGCGGGGGATTTAAATATCCCCTGCGGGATTTAAATAAACATGGCCGCCGCTTTTTTGGTGAGAGTGAAGTGTGGCAAATTCTTTCTTTTCCACCAGCAGTCTCTCCAGAGTCCCTCTCTCACAGGGAGCTTGTGAGGATAATTATATTAAAGACTATGAGTGGTCCTGTGGCAATAATAACTCCCGAAATAACTATTTCGAAATAGCGTGTCCACACTACAGGGAAGCTTCAAAATTAGTCCAAGGAAGGCTCCCATAATGTGGACGCACTATCTCAACTTAGAGCCCCAGGAAGCACTGGGGAGTAATTACTTTGAGTGACTCTGGGGAGTAGTAATTTCAAAATAGCAGCAGAGAAGTGTCCACACTACCGCTATTTTGAAATAAGCGTTATTCCTTGTGGAAAGCAGGAGTTATTATTTTGAAAGAACATGCTTGGTCGTGTGGACGTTGGTCTTGTTACTTTGAAATAAGGGGAGTTATTTCAAAATAACTTCTTGTGTAGACATGCCGTGAGTTAGCGCTACAGCCTTCAATGACAGCCAGCTCAGAGGTCCCAGGTTCAGGTCCTCCTGCTGGCGTTACACTGCCATCAATGGACATGGAGAACAATTGACTACCACCCTTTTTGTAACACCCCTGAATATATGTGAAGACTGTTCTCAGGTCTTCCTGCCACAGTCCTCTTTTCTCAAGACCCTACAAGGCCCAGTTTGTTTTACCTTGCCTCACAGGCCAGGGGTTCTAAACCTCAGATCATTTTCATTGTTCCCTTTAAAAGAGTGGTGCCCAGAACTGGACATAGCAATGCAGCTAGATTTTTACCTGTGCTGAGCAGAGCAAGACAACTACCTCCATGTCTTGCATAGAATATGCCTGCTAATACACCTCGGAACCTGAGCCTTTTTCGCTGTTGTCTCAGACTGCCGACTTTTATTCACTACACATGATCCTGTGTAGCCATACGACTGCCTCGCCAGTTACTCCCCATTTTATAGTTGTGCAGTTGATTTTTCCTTCCTAAGTAAAGCACTTGGCATTTATCTTCATTTAATTTCATCTGATTGATTTCAAATCAATTCTCCAATTTGTTAAGGTCATTTTTCATTCAAATTCTGCCCTCCACGGTGTCATCTGTAAATTTTATAAGCACGCATTTTATATTGCCTTCATTATCATCATAATTTGCACACTTCTCCTGCCTGTTGTTAGAAGATCTCATTGTATTTTATAGAGGGGCTGGGAATGGAGGGTTTTCATATAGGCATTAAGACGTTCAACCCGGATAAGACTTTGGATACCTGTTTCCGGTTAAAATGAATGGGAATTCGGCGTGGACCTCTTAGCCATAGCATGGGTCTGATTTTCACCCCACACCTGAATATTCATTAATTAGACCTTGTTACACCCTAGTAAATTAGGCATGTATCACAACAAGTATAACTCACGATCCCTTTTTACAGGAATGGGCAATGAGACACAGAGAAGGCAGGTCACTGGCCTGAGCGTACAGAGCAAGCAAGACATACAGTGATGTGACTCCTGGGCTTGCTTGAAGGCTCAAAGGGAGAGCGCAACAGCACAACACTAACGTTTCAGAGAGCCTGCCTTCCTATGGAGGGGAGCTTCAGCCTAGGGAGGTTATGGAATCTCTGTCACAGGGGAATATTTAAGAGTAGGTTGGACAGACATCTGTCAGAGATGGTCTAGCTGGTGCTTGGTCCTGCCGTGAAGGCAGTAGCCTGGAATCAATGACCTCTTGAGGTTCCTTCCAGTTCTAGTGTTCTATGAGTCTGTGTTCTTCTGGGAAAAGGAAAGGAATGCAGGCTGATGGCAGGAAGGAAGAAAACAAGCCATATCTACTGCCAGGGCATTTGACACACACATTCCCTGTCTAATTCCCTCTCTCACTTGTCCCTCCTTGTTGAGGAAGAGAAGTGGATGCATCTCAGACAAGCCTGGGGAAAACGTTCCCGTGCTAAAAGCTCTAAGACCGTATATCCCTTGGGCAGCCTGAGTCAGGGTGAAGAACACACCCACAGCACAATCCGTGACCCAGAGTAGATACTGCTATCAAGTCTTCAGCCTGCCAGATATCTGCACCCCATCCTCCTTGCCTAAGCCTCAGCCCCCTCCAATTCTTTCCCCCAATGCTGACTCCAGGACTGGCTCCTAACTACCCCTGGGATTGGAACAGGTTCCTAGACGCAGTCAATATGAGTGCTAATGCATCCCCCTCTCCTCTGGACCACTTCTAAAAACCTCACCTGTCATGAAGTCCTGATGTCCTGGCTCCCATCTACACTAATAGCACACTTCCCCTTCTCACACTTAGACCAAATGCTGTGTGTCTTCCTCGCTGGCTGGTTTGATCCATCCCCAGGCCTTTGGCAACCATGGGGGGTCGCAATGTCACTCTAGTTTGGGTCTTCTCCCCCCAAATCAGGGGCACAGGCACCTGCTTAGTTTGCCTGTGCATCAATCCAGCCCTGCTTGAGCAATCTCTTTGAGATCCAGCGGAGAAGGATTTGAATCTTGCGTTGCAATATCATGAGGTCAGGGGTTGAGTTTTTAGTTCCCACAGGGGAACTGTTGCTCTTGCACCGTGCTGCCGTATCATGAACGATATTACTAATGGATATTACTAATGGATAGCTTAGGAAACGAGAGGCCCACCTTGTGTCTAGTGACTTCAAACAGGCAGTGACTGATACTTTTGTTAATGGTTTTTCTTTGCTTCTCTCAGAGTGGCCAGAATTCATCAAGAATTACGCCCCCTGGTGGGCCACTCACACCTTGGATTGGTTGAAATACGGCAAAAATGTCCTGGTGGTGCACTTTGAGGACCTGAAGCGAGATCTCTTTGTCCAGCTGAAGAGGATGGTGAGCCTCCTGGGCACCACGGTCTTTGAGGACAGACTCTTGTGTGTCGAGGGCCAAAAAGATGGAAACTTTAAGCGCTCTGGGCTGAGGAAGCTGGAATATGACCCCTACACACCTGAGATGAGAAAAATGATTAGCACCTATATTAAAACTGTGGATATGGCGCTAAAACTCAGAAACCTCACAGGAGTCCCAGATGACTATTATCCGAGATGATGAAGATAAGGCTTGGGGGAACTGACTCTACCCAGAACAGAAAGGCTTGGTTTTTCCCAGCCCATATCTAGTTCCACCCAGTGGGTGGCTTTCTTTCAATTATCCATCTGCTGCTATTAGCTGTTAATGAATTCCCTGCATGAGAAAAAAGAATGGTCACCAGTCATCGCTGAGAAGATGTCGTGGCAAACACATCGCCGAGTCTAAATTCTTCGGGGATCGTGCCGTTGTGAATTTGCATTTGCGACATGAAGACCTTCCCTGCTGGTGTCTTTACCGCTTTCTCTCTCCTGTAGTGTGGGGTGCGTGTTTTGTTCCCTTGTCAGACTTTACAAAGTGGTGAACCCTGCTCAGAAACGGTGGGAAGGAGCTGCACCCTCCGCTTTCCAGTTAGAATGGGGCTGAACACACACATGGCATTTAAAATGTGATCTGATGTTATTTGAGCTGTTTCATTCATTCCTAATAACTTAACTCTTTATTTATAACCTTCTTTGGAGTTTGGGAGGCAGGCTAGTGCTGGAGATCAACAGTAAAACTCACTATGCATTTCCAAGGCCTAATTCAGCTTGTAGGCCATGATCCAGCAAGCTGTTTTACCATGTGTTTTGCTGAGAGCACGACTTCTTAGCCTGGAGATTGCAAACCCTCAGTATCAGGAGTCACAACCACCTTGAAGGCTCAGCTGGGGAAGGCAAGCTGAAGCCCCACCCCTTCTGCCCGAAGCCACATCCCTTCCCCCAAGACCATGACCCTTCAACAACCCCACCGCACCACGGCCTCAACTCTCTTTGGCAGCCGGGGCACTGGTTGCTGGCCCAGCCCCTCCAGGGCAGCTGGGCACTGTAGGCAATTTTGGGAAGACAATGCCTTCCGTTGTCTACGTTACCCGCCACCCATGATCCTGCCTGAGTACGGAAGAGGTTAAGAACTTCTGACTTTAAGCACCTACTGGTCTGTAAACACAGGAGCAGCCCCAGGAGGATGACTCTACTACTCCCATGCCTAAAGTTAAGCATGTGCCTAAGCACTTTGCTGGATCAGGGCCATGGTTACGTCAGATTAAATCTGAGGAACCACGCTGGACTCAATGGAGTTACACTGGTTTAAACATGAGCAAATGTGCCCCATCCTCCACCTACATTCTCCTCCCCACCTCTTCCTGCCCAGCGCCTTGCCCGTCTCTCTCATCACTGGCTTTGGCAGCAGCTGTGGCAGGCCTGAGCACGCTCCTGTGCTGGCTGTTGACATTCTAGTCACAGCATCCCAGACACTGCCATTATCTTTAGTCACATATTTGCTGCTTCATCGGTGCAAGGTCACCCTTCCACGTGCGCTCTTCGCAGATGTCAGCTCTGTCACGGGGCATCCCTCAGGGGCTCGTAGCTGACCCAAACTCTGGTGCTGACAGTCACCCCCGGGTGGAGGGAGCAGTTGTAGGGGCTGTGTAGCCCTGAAGCTGTCAGGCAGAGGAGACCCCCTGGTCCCCTGCCTCATGCTCATTTGAGTTCCGTTTCCTCTGAAAACGGGATCAGAGAGCCTGGGAGTAAAAATGAGGCTCAAGAGGGAGAGGTGGAGGGCTAGGTCTCCCTCCATGCTCTCCAAAGCTCATAAGCCATAAAGCGGGGATGGCGTCAAGAGGCTAGTGGGCTTGGGGCTTGGCATCAAGTGCTAGTGCAGAGATGGGCAGCCTAGGCTAGTGAGTGGGCCACATGAGGGTCATCCTTCATCTCCGTGAGCTGCAAGGTGGTTGTCACCAAGGCAGTCTCCCAGGAGAAGGCTGTTCTGCCAACTGTGCTTGTGTGTCTAGAATTTGCAGGGTGGTCAGTTGACCTGGAGCAGTGCTCTGGTTGGATGCAGAGGGAACAGCACGCACCTCACTTCACCTGCCCTTTCTTTTGTGTGTGTGTATGTGTGTGTGTGACTTTATTAATACACAGAAGGGCAGGGGGAACCAACATGGACAGAAACCAGCAGAATCTGGCATCCCTGTGCATGGGCAACAATATACCAAATGTCTTGTGGGCCATACGTAGAACCCCAATGGGCCTCAGTTTACCTACCACTGTGCTAGATAGCTGTGAGGTTTGCATCTGAACTTCATGTCAGGCAGAGTTTGGGCTCCCAGAATTTGAGGGGGAGGGGAAATTCAGGCCCCAAAGTCTGGAGTGGGCAGATCTACGCTCAGTGGGACCGACAGAAACCAGTGGCCAGGGGATGGGATGTGGGTGGGGATTCCTGGCTCCATGCTCCCAGAAAGGGTGGAACCTCAGGCAGAAGAGGCAGGGCTGAGGGCTGTTAGTCCTTGGTGCCACCTGGAACACAGTGCTTGGCCTCCCTGCAAAGCCGCACAGAGTGCCCAGCATGGCTCCCTGGTAGCAATTTAAAGGGGCCCCGGGTCTCCAACCACTGATGCTGTGGCAGTAGCAACAGAAGGAGGCCAGGAGTTTCAGGACCCCTTCAAACACAGATATGTGGAACAACTGCTCTGTTTACACACACACACACACACACACACACACACACACATTGACTGATGGGCCTATTTATGATTATACATCAGACGTGGGATCCACAGACAGGCCCGGCCTTTGGGCAAGGTGAGCAGGGCTTGCCTGGGGCCCCCACCTTTAGGGTGCCATACTGCTCGGTGCCCACCCACCTGGCCATGCACTCGCTGCCCTGGCTGGGAGCCAGGTGGCCATGCAGCACAGCCAACCAAAGCATGCCGCCCTGGGCCCTGCAAACTCTTTGGCCGGCCTGTCCACAGAACAGCAACAGCAGAGAGGAGGGGGCCCGTCGTTAGCTGAGCTGCCACTGAGAACCATGCAGCGGAATACCTACTGCTCTAAATGTTTGTAGCCTTTTCAAAAGCCCTTCATCTGTGAAAAGGCAGTGAGGAAGCTTTCAGAGCCAACAGGAGAAGAGCAGCGGTTCTCTCAGCCTGCTTGACTCTGATTCTCCCGTACTCCTCCCAACGCCTGCCCAGGTTTGTGCTCCAGCCAGCTGAGCTGCCACTGAGAACCATGCAGCGGAATACCTACTGCTCTAAATGTTTGTAGCCTTTTCAAAAGCCCTTCATCTGTGAAAAGGCAGTGAGGAAGCTTTCAGAGCCAACAGGAGAAGAGCAGCGGTTCTCTCAGCCTGCTTGACTCTGATTCTCCCGTACTCCTCCCAACGCCTGCCCAGGTTTGTGCTCCAGCCTCAGAAAGGAGTCTGCCGTCACTCCTCTAACCTGCCGTTTGTTCTGCAACATGGGTGTCCATCAGCAGTGACCATGTCCTTTATGTCTAAGGAGAGGGTGGAGAAGTTTAGGGAGACCAGCTGTTTACCTTGCCCAAAGCAGGAACAAATTTCTCTAGCTGCGCACAATTTAGGATGGCTCCGTGCAACCCTATTCCGACACTCTCCCACACCCACACCAAGAGGGGGCTATTACAGGAGCCCTGTAGCCTCTGAGTTCTTGCTTAAAAAAAAAGGAGTCAAACCAAAGGATCTATGTGTATTTCAGTAAGGTATCATTTTGTAAAGCCGACATTCCTAGGAGCTGGATGTGGTCCCGCAGCAAATTCCAAACCACTGATTCATTCCCGGATCAATGCTTCACTGCAGTCCAAGCCCCCTACCCTGCCAACATAATCTGCGAGTCCGCTTTGGATGTAGATGCAAAAGCCATATATTGTACGCAGCCTTTTTATATCGTTAGTTACTGGACAGTTGGCTTTTAACTCTTGATCTTGATAGAAATAAGTGCACAGTTCTATATAGCTCTATATTCCAGGAAAGCAAAGCAAACTACATTGAGAAGAGGAAAAAAATTAAGTAAATATATTTTTCTAACATCTCTGAGGGAACGACATAGCCAAATGGAAAATTACAGCAACACCAAGGCTGTGGGGTTTGCTTTCATGTTTTTTTCTCTCTTTGCCTTCCTGATTTTTCTTTTCTTTGGCTGGTTAGTTATCTAGGTGCAAGCAGAACCCTTAGAATGCAAGTTGGGTCTCATCTCTGAATGTATTTTGTAAGGAGTAGCTACAGCATTTTTAACTCTTTCTTTGACCAATTGTTTGAGATCAGATGTCTGTGCACTGCTAAAGAAAGCAACCTGGTTTCCCTTTCCTTTGTTTGGGGGCAGTCCCCGGGCTGCCAACCTCGGGCTGTGTAGCCCTGAAGCTGTCAGGCAGAGGAGACCCCCTGGTCCCCTGCCTCATGCTCATTTGAGTTCCGTTTCCTCTGAAAACGGGATCAGAGAGCCTGGGAGTAAAAATGAGGCTCAAGAGGGAGAGGTGGAGGGCTAGGTCTCCCTCCATGCTCTCCAAAGCTCATAAGCCATAAAGCGGGGATGGCGTCAAGAGGCTAGTGGGCTTGGGGCTTGGCATCAAGTGCTAGTGCAGAGATGGGCAGCCTAGGCTAGTGAGTGGGCCACATGAGGGTCATCCTTCATCTCCGTGAGCTGCAAGGTGGTTGTCACCAAGGCAGTCTCCCAGGAGAAGGCTGTTCTGCCAACTGTGCTTGTGTGTCTAGAATTTGCAGGGTGGTCAGTTGACCTGGAGCAGTGCTCTGGTTGGATGCAGAGGGAACAGCACGCACCTCACTTCACCTGCCCTTTCTTTTGTGTGTGTGTATGTGTGTGTGTGACTTTATTAATACACAGAAGGGCAGGGGGAACCAACATGGACAGAAACCAGCAGAATCTGGCATCCCTGTGCATGGGCAACAATATACCAAATGTCTTGTGGGCCATACGTAGAACCCCAATGGGCCTCAGTTTACCTACCACTGTGCTAGATAGCTGTGAGGTTTGCATCTGAACTTCATGTCAGGCAGAGTTTGGGCTCCCAGAATTTGAGGGGGAGGGGAAATTCAGGCCCCAAAGTCTGGAGTGGGCAGATCTACGCTCAGTGGGACCGACAGAAACCAGTGGCCAGGGGATGGGATGTGGGTGGGGATTCCTGGCTCCATGCTCCCAGAAAGGGTGGAACCTCAGGCAGAAGAGGCAGGGCTGAGGGCTGTTAGTCCTTGGTGCCACCTGGAACACAGTGCTTGGCCTCCCTGCAAAGCCGCACAGAGTGCCCAGCATGGCTCCCTGGTAGCAATTTAAAGGGGCCCCGGGTCTCCAACCACTGATGCTGTGGCAGTAGCAACAGAAGGAGGCCAGGAGTTTCAGGACCCCTTCAAACACAGATATGTGGAACAACTGCTCTGTTTACACACACACACACACACACACACACACACACATTGACTGATGGGCCTATTTATGATTATACATCAGACGTGGGATCCACAGACAGGCCCGGCCTTTGGGCAAGGTGAGCAGGGCTTGCCTGGGGCCCCCACCTTTAGGGTGCCATACTGCTCGGTGCCCACCCACCTGGCCCTGCACTCGCTGCCCTGGCTGGGAGCCAGGTGGCCATGCAGCACAGCCAACCAAAGCATGCCGCCCTGGGCCCTGCAAACTCTTTGGCCGGCCTGTCCACAGAACAGCAACAGCAGAGAGGAGGGGGCCCGGCGTTAGCTGAGCTGCCACTGAGAACCATGCAGCGGAATACCTACTGCTCTAAATGTTTGTAGCCTTTTCAAAAGCCCTTCATCTGTGAAAAGGCAGTGAGGAAGCTTTCAGAGCCAACAGGAGAAGAGCAGCGGTTCTCTCAGCCTGCTTGACTCTGATTCTCCCGTACTCCTCCCAACGCCTGCCCAGGTTTGTGCTCCAGCCTCAGAAAGGAGTCTGCCGTCACTCCTCTAACCTGCCGTTTGTTCTGCAACATGGGTGTCCATCAGCAGTGACCATGTCCTTTATGTCTAAGGAGAGGGTGGAGAAGTTTAGGGAGACCAGCTGTTTACCTTGCCCAAAGCAGGAACAAATTTCTCTAGCTGCGCACAATTTAGGATGGCTCCGTGCAACCCTATTCCGACACTCTCCCACACCCACACCAAGAGGGGGCTATTACAGGTTGTTCTGCAACATGGGTGTCCATCAGCAGTGACCATGTCCTTTATGTCTAAGGAGAGGGTGGAGAAGTTTAGGGAGACCAGCTGTTTACCTTGCCCAAAGCAGGAACAAATTTCTCTAGCTGCGCACAATTTAGGATGGCTCCGTGCAACCCTATTCCGACACTCTCCCACACCCACACCAAGAGGGGGCTATTACAGGAGCCCAGCAGCCTCTGAGTTCTTGCTTAAAAAAAAAGGAGTCAAACCAAAGGATCTATGTGTATTTCAGTAAGGTATCATTTTGTAAAGCCGACATTCCTAGGAGCTGGATGTGGTCCCGCAGCAAATTCCAAACCACTGATTCATTCCCGGATCAATGCTTCACTGCAGTCCAAGCCCCCTACCCTGCCAACATAATCTGCGAGTCCGCTTTGGATGTAGATGCAAAAGCCATATATTGTACGCAGCCTTTTTATATCGTTAGTTACTGGACAGTTGGCTTTTAACTCTTGATCTTGATAGAAATAAGTGCACAGTTCTATATAGCTCTATATTCCAGGAAAGCAAAGCAAACTACATTGAGAAGAGGAAAAAAATTAAGTAAATATATTTTTCTAACATCTCTGAGGGAACGACATAGCCAAATGGAAAATTACAGCAACACCAAGGCTGTGGGGTTTGCTTTCATGTTTTTTTCTCTCTTTGCCTTCCTGATTTTTCTTTTCTTTGGCTGGTTAGTTATCTAGGTGCAAGCAGAACCCTTAGAATGCAAGTTGGGTCTCATCTCTGAATGTATTTTGTAAGGAGTAGCTACAGCATTTTTAACTCTTTCTTTGACCAATTGTTTGAGATCAGATGTCTGTGCACTGCTAAAGAAAGCAACCTGGTTTCCCTTTCCTTTGTTTGGGGGCAGTCCCCGGGCTGCCAACCTCTGTCAGAGCAATCCTCAGGTTAACACCTATTAAATGAGAGTTTTGTTGATATTCTGCAGTGTGCTGGCATGTGTTTTGTGGAACAGCTCCTCACTCACACGGACGCGCGACCAGGGACGCAGAGATGTCGCCACAGAGGCAGCTCAAAGGCACCTGGCAGGCACAGCTGATGGAAGCAGTGAACAGGAAAGGATGTAGCAACAAGTGGAAAGCAGAGAGCAAAAGGGGATGGAGCAAAGGGCCATCATCACTAGCGTGTGCTTACTGGTCCATAAAAGCCTGGGGACTTCACAATGGTATTGCTACACGTATGCCTTGGGAGGGGTCTGAATGAAGGAAAAAAGGATACCAAATGTGTAAGGGACAAAGGCATGGGACTGCAAGAAGAAATGTTACACACACACACTCCACAGATTAAACGTCCCCATAGGCAGACCCCTTGAGTTTTCCCACACAGACACTAACCATCTGGTGAAGTTCAAGGATGTGTTACTTCAGTGGGACCTCAACCCAGAATCCCCCCACCCCCAGTTTTGCCCGCCATGGGGCAAGTGGTCTGCAGCTGGGGCAGTGACACAAATGGAACATTCCCTCCCTCCCCCGGGAGAGTTCTGCCCTTCATTAGGGATGCGAGGTCTTTGGGGAGTCTTCTGGGCCAAGTTCAATAGCAGCCTTGCTTAGAGGAGATTATTTCTGCTGCTCTGAGCAGATGCTGCTCAGAACAAACTGCAAGGACAATGAATTCTTATATGGGCAGCCAGGAGAAGGCAGGAATAACACCGACCGATTGAGCAAAAATGGAGCAAAATGCCAGGCTGGCATCTAGCATCGATAGTCCAAAGGGAGCCTGCATGTGTAATTGGAGAAGAGAAAAAATTTACAAGCTGGAGAGCTAGCAGCATAGCAACTATGCTGGTGTCCAAAGAAATCTACTCTGGGGTGACCCAAAGTAAATCTGTAGACAGCTGCTCTTTGCAGAAAGCCAATATAGAACCTGGGGATGTAGCCATGCATGCTGTGAGCAAGGTATGCATCTCTGAGAGAGAGGCTAAGTGAT